ATTCTTTTATTATTTCCATACAATCTGTGCCCACCTCATCAGATTCATGGATGTGTGTATATACATATATGTACAAACATTCATTTGTATCTACGCATGTGCATGTAACAATTCAGTTGAAATTCAATTTCTGTAAGAAGCCAAATTGTGGATGGATCCACGACTTAGCACATTTGATGTTTATCTTTTCAGTGAGAGTCAGCGAGTAAAGCTCGTTGTGAATAAATCTGCCGCGCGAATTCGTTTTATTTGCTCCGAGAAATCTATGTTAAATTTCCTAGATGACTACTTTGTTGCTACTATTACTGCAAATCTTCTTCTTAGTTAGTGTGCCTGCAGCGCGTAACGTAACACGTCGTAATGTTGTGCTTGTAATTTTTGATGACCTACGACCTGTGCTTGGCGCTTATGGAGATCATTTGGCATATACGCCATATTTGGACGCGTTCATCCAGGAGAGTTACTACTTTACGCGTGCTTATANGTGCTTGGCGCTTATGGAGATCATTTGGCATATACGCCATATTTGGACGCGTTCATCCAGGAGAGTTACTACTTTACGCGTGCTTATAGCCAGGTAGGTGTAAACATACATACATATATTTTGATAGATAGAGCACTAACAATTGGCTTTCTAGCAATCTCTATGTGCACCCAGTCGTAACTCAATGCTCACCGGCCGTCGTCCGGATACTTTGCACCTTTATGACTTTTACAACTATTGGCGCGATTTTGCCGGGAATTTTACCACACTTCCACAATACTTCAAAGCTCACAACTATTACACTTATGGCGTTGGAAAAGTTTTCCATCCGGGCATTTCATCAAACAGTTCAGACGACTATCCCTACAGTTGGTCATTGCCGACTTTCCGACCACCGAGTGAGAAGTACATGAATTCACCGGTATGTCCGGATGCCAGCGGTGTTTTACGTAAAAATCTTATCTGTCCCGTGCATTTACAAACTCAGCCACTGAAAACGCTGCCCGACATTGAGTCTACCGCAGAGGCTATACGCTTTATCACCACTTACCAGCGTCGTAGACCCTATTTTTTGGCGCTTGGTTTTCACAAGCCGCACATTAACTTTCGTTTTCCGCAACAGTTTCTGGAACGATTTCATCTCAAGGATTTCAATAACTATACCACAGATACTCATAAGCCTGAGGATATGCCGAATGTGGCTTGGAATCCATATATAGATGTACGTTCACGCGACGACTTTAAACATCGGAATATTTCCTTCCCGTATGGACCGATTTCGGCGTTGCAACGTTCGCAGATACGTCAAGCATATTACGCGTCCGTTGCATACGTTGACGATTTGTTTGGAAAATTTATCGCGCATGTGAATAGACGCAACACTATTGTGCTGGTGACCAGCGATCATGGCTGGTCATTGGGCGAACATGCTGAATGGGCTAAGTATAGTAATTTTGAGGTGGCGTTGCGCGTGCCACTCATTATACGGAGCCCGGAATTTCCGTTGACAACATTTCAACGCATGCATACAATCGCCGAACTGGTGGACATTTATCCAACTTTAGTGGACTTAGCACATTT